ACACACACACACACACACACACACAGAGGCAGACAAAGACATATTTGTTCACATCAGATTCCAGGTTTGGAGGGGGGGTATTTGGCTGAGTCTGAGACCCACACTTCCCATGAGCCTCTGCTCTCTCTAGCTGGGACTCCTTTCTCCCCTGATATCTACTGTATCAGTCTAACTGTCCACATCTACTCGTCTAATTCACTTCACGTTGTTACATCTGTTGCCCATCGACCATCTTTTGCTCCAAATGATTTTTTCACTCGATGATATACCTCCATTAATCAAACCCAGGAGTTACGTGAATCAGAATTAATTAACTGTGATAAATGTGAGTGCTGAGTCTGGGACAAAAAGCACGATAATATGTGCTGTTAATAAAAGGAAATTACTTTAATTACTTCTATCGTGTTATTCTCAGAGCAGCACAGCTCTATTACATTGAAGGCAAAATAATACAAATCTAAAAATGACTATAATGAAAAAAACAACTATTTGAGTTATGCCACTTTAGGGTATGCATCATCCGTGTATTAAGAACAAGAAATCCCTGAGAAAACAAAGTATAATTTAGTAATTTGGCTGAACCAACACTTTATGGAACAAGTTCTTTGTTTAAATTTAAAGCAGGATGTTAAAAATAAAATCTCTCTCTTGAACATTCCCAGACAAGACAACAAACACCCTCAAGAAGCTTGTGAGATTCTTCCTTTCTATAGATACATCAAAACACTCCACGAGCCTCCTCAAATTTCCTCTGATCTACCAACTTATACGCACAACATACACTTCATATACACACTGCTTGAACAAATGCAGAGCTCGCATGCAAGCCCAAGATGTTCTGCACCGAGCATCTCCTTGGCAGATGGGCAGCTCAGCGCCCCGAGGACTGGACGTGCACCTGCCGTCCCCAGTGGACTGTGCTCAGCAACAGACCCCCCGAATGTCATTCAAAACCTCCAGCCATGCCCAGACCCACACGGTAATCAGAGACAGGATTATGTCTAACAGGATTACAGATGGATTTGTTTCAGCAGTGGTCAAATTACAGATGTGTTTGGAAGACGTTTAAAATAAGTGATTACTTTTGGTTTTGAGACTATAAATACACATCAAGACGTCCACTATTCCTGTTTGTATTTATTTAGGCTGCTGTAGACGGAGAGACTGTTTGATCTGAGACCAGCTTCAGGGGGAGAAAACTCTTTCATACAATTGCAACTAGCACATAATCATGATAGTATATGTAAAACTATATTGTGCAACTCACAAACTGTCAAAATCTACCTTTTGCCCTCATCACGCCAATAGATTCTGACTAAAGATCTATCGGGCTGCTTCCCCCAGAGGGATGTTTGTGTTCTGCACCGACTCTCCGCTCCAAATATTGACTTCAAACGCAGCCAACGTCTGTCATGTTCAGAGTGAAAACTTTGTGATGTGACACGTCAGTGAGTATTGTAGTCGTACAGGAACCGAAACTTCTTGGCCTGAACACCCCCGTTGCTCTCGCTGCCTCTCCAATCATAGTAAGTTTCAATGTTTAAGTACACATGCAAGAAGGTCTATTTTCGAGCACATCCTTTTTGAAACTAATGAGAACTACTAAACTTAAACTAATTCAAATTAAGGACAGGTTACATGTCACAGAAAGCATCATGTTGTTTGTGTCATATGAACATAATAACATGAGGTGGAGTCATCTTCAGGGCTCTGGATCATTTTACTGTGGCCACTCATCTCATTGACTCAGTAAGCTGTAAAGGATCCGTGTGAGGTGATACGACCGGTCAAACATGGGTTGGTTAATTTCCCTGTAACTAAGCAACACTGTTTGTTGTCAAGTTACAGAGGAACTTTAAGGATAAAACGAATTTTTCATTTCAACAGTGCCAGGTAACTCACAAGTGACCGTGAACGATAAGAAAGTGATCATGGTGGATATAATAAACTTTAACTAAAACATCTTCTAGTTAAGACATTGACTAGGATGCTGCAACACAGCAATGGATCATTTATGCATTTCTTGAAAACTGATATTATAAATATACCTGCAATCAAAATACCATAAAGAAGTCTGAAACTACTTAGTACACAGCTACAGTTCCTGGGTAAGCTGAAGAGCTTTAAAATGTCACTAGAGAAAGGTCACACAACAAAGCAGAAAGACAGCATCACCATCTTAGCCAAGAAAATACCAGAAATACTTCTTCTCCATTCCTCATATTTACACAAATGTACATGAGGTTTCGGTCCTTGAGTTCCTGAACATCTCATGCTGCCTTAATTATTGCTTCAAGCTATCTGAAGGTTCTTATGTTACTTTTACAGTTCTCATGCTTTTTCTATTTTGCATGAAGCAAGTTGAATTACCTTGTTTAAATGTGCGATGCAAATAAACGTGTTCTCAAATAAGAATCACAAACATCACATTATTTATTATTGACACTTAATCTGCGCTTCTTCTTGATGACTGCATAAAATATTAATATAATATATTATTTTCAGGTTTCCAGAGCACTTATACCACATTTCTATGAAAAAGCCGCCACAGTAGTATTTTGCGTTTTTGCTTTTATAGAATTTGTAAATATAGAGTTTATATAGTTTTCTTATTTGTGTCAAGACACACAATGCAAGACCACCATGCCGTCAAACACACAAAAAAAGAGACCATCAAATCAGCCTTTAAACATGGATTTCCATATATTTTCTGCAGAGTATTCACAAACCATTTCCGTTACCACTCAACATACTCTGCTGCCCAAACAGGCAAACATTCACCAAAAGCCTCTGTAGTGAAGACCTCGTTTCATCCTCACCACCGGCTGAAGAATCCCTGACATCCTCACCACAGCGCTATCATTACAAATAGGATCATCCGCTCACGTTAGTCATCCTCTTAAATTTTAGTTATAGCGCGACAAGAACTAGAGAAGGAAATACAGTAAGTGTCATGGGGAATTTTGTTAGCGGAGGGTAAGGTTTCAGCCAAGTGGCAAAAGGGTGAACGTGCGTTGACGATCTTGGCCCCAAAGGCCACATGACGCTTAACGTGTACCCGAAGACACCTTATCCCGTCCTACACATTCTCCACAACTGTGCCTTTGACTCACCACTGCCAGGAAAAAGTGTAATTGGTCAAATTTGATTTAACTTTGTGTTTAATTGTATTCTTTTCAATGGCCAAGCCAATGAAATGAATTCTTCAATCTTAATACGGCTGCACATTTTGTTTTTTTACCTTAAACAGGGTTTCTGCCTGTTTCAACAAGTTAGATTCAAGGCTTTTTTAAAGACCCATGACAGATATGAAGGAATATCAGAGCCCCACATTTACTTAAACTTGACCTAAGGTGAAGTAGAAAAGGAGACAACCATCGAAATGTTTGTGGGTTAGTTCAACGTTGGCCTTGTAGATTTTCATTACAGTGTGTTATCTGTATTGTTGACAAAGAACTACAACACATGGACACACATTACAAACCACACATGCAAATATATTTTTCTGAAAAAAACCATTAAAGCACCAAGAAAGTAGCATGAAATGAACAATATTTAAACTATGGAGCTACATAAGTGTAATTAAGAGCTTTAAGACTATATAAGGCCAAAATTCATGTCTAACTTTAGGCCGTCTTTTTCCGACCCAGTGAAAATCTAGTTAAACCAACAGACTTAATTGTTTAAACGTGCTCCCCTCCGGATCAGATCACAATGTCCATTGTCTCAGTAAAACTAACCGATAGCCCTCCACTAATTTGGTGAAAGGAGAATCCATCATGTTACGAAACCCTGCTCTGTCTGCCAGCGGAGCCCAAAGAAGAAGCTTGGAAATCCTCAGTAATGAGCGGCGGCCAAAAACAACTCAGGGTTTTCTGCAGGAAAGACAGACGCAAGTAATTTCCCTTATAAAGACAAAGATTAGGAAGGAGGCTCTATGTAAGAGTCCAACACAGTGAGCCTCAGTGCACAGACAGTAACACGTCTCCTCGAAGTGGGCCGGGGGCCAGGTCTAACACTGGAGATCTCTCGGGTCGTTAGGGTCCGGCTCTTTACTGAGGCACAACCACAAGGCCGCAGGGTGTAACTGTTTCTCACACCAGCACTTCTCAGTCAGTTAAAAATGGTTCATGCCAACACACACACACACACACACACAGAAAATGTGACCGGGGTCCCAAGTGGTTTCTTTTGAACGCAAGAGGTAGTTGATTACCAAGAGACGCACAGGGCACGGCAGGTCAGCGTGCTCTCAGATGTCAGTCCGAGCCCTCTAGTCACTCATAGAAACCTGTCCCTTCTCTCACCAACACCCCCCCCATCCATCCATCCATACACACAGAGAAACACAAACTTCTATGTCTAATTATATTTGTAAGGATCTGTCAGTGACTCAGTGTATTCCCTAAAACTTAAACCTAGCTCTAAAACCTAATTAACCCTCAAACAGCCGGGGGCCAGGACTTACACATACGTGGTCTCTTGGGTTTTGGACACGTAAATATTCTTGTGTCAATACCTCAAGCATTTACAAGTAGCTAACTTTGCTCATTGAGAAACTTTGCGGAGTTGGTAACATGACAAAACCCATAATAGATACAATATGGGAATTAGAGCCTTTGCAAAAATGAAGCATTTTAAATTTGACAGTCATTACGTTCTTGCTCTGTTTGTCTCCTTGTCTCAAAAGATAAAGAACCACATATTAACATATTAAGGTTTGGTCCTTGATGAGAGTGATCACCATTTATTTGCTTGGGACCCCTTGAAAAATCTCATGATGTTGCCCTAGTAAGGACATTAATTGTGAGTAGTTCTTCTAAAGAGTATATTTTCCTTCCTCAAGTATTTTAAACCATTTATCATGATGTGACCACTTTAGATTCACTATGGGAAACATCCAGGACGTCCTGACCCCAGGTTGGAAACTACGACTTAAACCTAAAGGTCACACACTTTTCTTGAGGTGTGGTCGGCAGGAGTCCTGCACCTGAGCATCACTTAACGCACCAAATCATAGATGTACATTTATGAAGCTCACCTCCACACTCTCGTTGACCTCTATTCCCCCGTCGTTGTCGTCGTCCAGCTGTTTGTGGATGTGCCGCAGCGCCTCCAGACTGAAGCGGTCGGCCTCGCCCATGCATGGCGGCATTACAATAAGACAGGGATCTGTAGAGGACAAAACAATTCAGGTCAGTGATGAAAAACACTTGATACCTTCACAACAAGCACAAAGATTAAAATACATGTTTCAGTGCCACATATAAATAATAACAATACATTTCCTGAAACTAATGTTAACACAATGTATTCCCCCACAATCCCCAGATCCATGGAGAAACGTTATGCAATTCATTAAAAAGGAATGATTTTGGATTGGTGTAGATCGCTGTGTGTGATCCATATGTTGTGTTTTGATCCTGAACCCGAGACACAGTCGGAGCACAATTATCAGACAATAAAAACAGAAAAGCAGCATAAAGGCATAAACCTAGACCAAAGAACAAATGCAATTTGCAAAGTATTCAGGATTTGTAAATATTTGACTCAAATGCACGACTTTAACTCGAAACTCAAAGTTTAGGACTTCTGAGTCACCGATGCATAAGAGCATACAGAAAGTGTTTGATTCCTCACGTTTATGTCACTTTCAGTTACAAAGCTGCACAGCCATTACACACAGTGTGTGGATGTTGTGCTAACAAATATTTGCTTCCTGAGAACTAAAGACTAATTATCCACATAACTGCACCACTTACAGGCAAGTATGTGCTAACAGGGATCCACCTTCAGGGGCCTGACCACACCTGCACTCCAGGTATTTAGTATAATCCACTGCATGTCCTTTTACGAGTGGGAAGAAGGAGACGTTGTCAAATATCTCTGGATCTTGTAGCTTAGTTCATTTGAAAAGACGAGTAAATGAACGATTCTTTAATATAAACCCTTATCCGTGGCTCCACCCTTCCTCAGCAGCACACGGACCACTCAGTGTCGTGTGCTGTTGTTATCCCAGCAGCGTCCCCCAGGCACCCTCCCCCTTGTTTTTAATGCAGCCCCCTCTGTCCCACGGGGGGAAGTGAACCCATTACTTCCAGCCTCCCGAGCGATGGACGGTTTGAGGTGGCCAGTTGCCAAACTGTCTCAGAGGAGCCACAAAACACACACAGACACTGATTATGACAACCACAGAAACAGTAACTCATACACTCACACGAGCTCCAAACCACTCGCATAAACGAGACACACGACAGAACACTTTAAAACCGTCACATAAGGATGCTCCCTGTTTGACTAGTGTCAGATCAGATGACAGACACAACACATGCCAAACAAAGGGTTTTAATGGCTGTTTGCGAGGAGAGTAAATATTTAGACAATAAAAACGCCACCAGAAAACTAAAAGAATGTGAACAAGTGATGTTATCAAACTACTAAAGTTGGACAATAGCGGAAATATTCTTCTTTTGTCAAGTTTAAGTCCGAAAATTGTCCATCCTTTGGGAATTTCACTACACATAAGGCTTTTATGTAGATAAACAACAGAAGAGTTTTTCCCCAGAGCTAATTAACACACTTCTTTGGGCTCCATACATTTTCTGACTGCTTTAAAAAATTAAACAAAGAATGGAAATCAAACAAATAATTTAATTTCGTTAAATCAAAAGTGAAAAAGTTTCAAACACATTTCAGGAAATACAATTTTTTGATAAGATTAGAACAATGATATCTCATTTCAATGATTTGTAGTTTAAAAATATGTTGTGGGTTGTTTTGTTACTTTCAAACAGGACAAACTTATTTCCTGTCTTGTTTCATTTTTTATTTGAAAAGTGTATTTACATTTAACATTCACAAATAATACAAAAGAAGGCTAAGCTGTAGCTATTTTGGATGGAACTTAAACAAGCTAACCCACGAGCATGTATAGCATAAAGGTGACATTATCTGTGGGGTTTTATTCTGTTTACCTAAACAAGACTTAACGAGTTAGCTATAGAGGAGCCACTTGGCAATCTACAGTAGAAGCAAAAGGAGCTATTTGATTGGACGGGTGCCTGGGCTAAGTTTGGATTGGAGGACACTGGGGAGGATGTCTGGGTCAAATGAAGACACCAGCGTTGGCTAACAGCTCTGACTGGACCAAGCTCCACGATTATCGAGTTGCAAAATTGATTATTTGTTCCTGGGTAAACAGATACCGTGGGTTGGGGAGAGCGTAACTACTGTGGCTGCAAAAACCAAACTGTTAACATGATGCTGTGGCAGCACTGAACAAAACATCTGAGTTGTGCGGAGCGTGACTGAATTATAGGCTGGCTGATAATTATTGGCCAATAAGGGCCAATAAACTTTTATTTTACAGAATAAAAATGGGAACAAACCAACCATATACAAACAAAGACACAATCTTTCAGCCTCCCTGCTGTAAAGAAAAAGAGAGACCCAGAAGAGTATCTATTAATAACAGGAAGTATCGTCAACATAAGCAAGATAAGCCTCACTTCAGCAGTGTCCATCTGCCTCCTGTCAAAAAGTTACATAATGCATTTGCCTAGCTAACCAGGGCAGTTTACATAGCCTGCTGTTTGCATAGCATGCATATCTATTTGTCTGCCTGGTTGTTTAAACAGGCAGAAAACTCTTTCTCTTTACTTGTGTTTTAACTAAACACACAGACAGCAGCACATCCTACTGAATGACCCACTTTAACTTTTTTCTTTTACAGAACTCACAGCTGACTTTCACAAACATCTTGCACTGATGTTGATAAGATCGTATTATCAGATCTTTCTTAGTTAGTGGCCTAATTCTGTTCTACGTGTGTGCAGAACCCTTCATAAACCGACGGATCTTCTGAAGCTCGTAGAGAAAAAGATAATTTCGGAGATAAAACAAAACCAGGAAAAAAAAAGAACTAGCTGTCATTCAGTGACAGGATTTGGGATGGCCCACCTGGTGTGCAATTCAGAAACGTGACAGCAAAAGCCTTTCCTTCCCTGGTGTCCTATTTTTGAGCACATCTGAGTACATTAAGGGACAGCACTACAATGAGGAACCATGTGACAGGAAGTGGCTGCTGGTGACCCTCAGCATTCCGGGGGGACGCACACAAAATCAAAACAGCCGGGAGAAGCGGTCCCAAAAGATGACAAAATTGGAAAGCACTGGGTTATTTTTAACCCATCAGGCTTCCAGTTGTCAGGATGTAAAAGCTCAACAATGGCAGAGGTCTCCCTCGCTCTAACACACATGCAGATGTTAAGTACACTGTCGCAGCAGGAAGACACGAGCAGGGAAGCAGTCGTACAGTAATTCACTTTGCTATAACTCACGAATGCATGCGAGCTGTCACAGAGTGTGGCAGGTTTGGTTCAAAAGAATCTCATAACAAAAGCAAACAGCTGTCAGCTGCTTCCTTTAAAGTGAAATCCACCACTTCAAAATAGTATTTTTGCACAATATATGCATTTCATTAAGCTGGTTCTGTCTTAAGTTTCACAAAAAGCTGTTAGGGAGGTGACAGGAGGAGTGTGTGGTGTCTGATGTGTCTTTTAGGGGACTTCCTTGAACCAGGTCCCTTGAGATATGGAGATAAGTTTATGCAGTTGAACAGACGCAGCAGACGTCCTAAACTAAAGTCTGTGTGGGGTCTATATAAATGATATAAAAACTAAAAAGTCAAATTAAACTAACTAATGTAAATACTGACAGACAATGTGATTTTCTAACAAAGCTACTGCCCAGTCAATTACAATGGCCGGGATATTCACGAAACACTGGCGGATTTTCAGGCACTGTTTTACCCAATGATCCTCTAAGAAAATCTAAAAGCACGACTTAATTAATACAAATAAAATTTTACTTTTAAACAAAAAAAGAATCAGCAACAAGAAAAATCTAAATTACATAAAATATTCCACAAACAGGATCAACTAAAGCCTTTAAGGACAAAGCCCTGAAGGTGTTTGGTAACACAAAGGAGGACAAAACTTTTGTTAGCAGGGACTTTAGCAGTGGCATTGACGCATCTTGTCAGCGCCTGAAACCCCCCCGGGGGCAAACTTTCTACCTTGGGAGGAGGAGGAGGCCGAGTCTCTCCCCTCCCTCCTCCCCCCGTCTTGGATGAGGAGCCACATTAAGTGTAACAGTATCTGGGCTTTGGGGACGGTGTGGGCAGAGCCGACGTGAAATTAAGATATAGCAGGATATGATGGGTTTGACATGAGACTCGGGGGAGTCAGGGAGACTTAAGAGGCCTCTTCTTACTTCACAAACTGCAAAAAGACATCTTAGTTTTCACACTTACTGTCACTCTCTCAAGCACGGACATTGAAGATATATATATATATATATATATATATATATATATCTACAGTCAAACAATGTTAAAATCTTTGGTGGAAACCTAACTGTCTTAAACAAATACAAAGTTCAGATGATCTCAGGAAAATATCTGCATCGTCTATAAACTTCATCTAGTCAACGCTGTATCGTCAAATCCAAACTTAAAACTGGGATTACTATATAATTCTCTATATTTACTCAGTGCTGTTTCAGAATTCTCAGTGTAAAATGTACTGTACTACAGTAATGTCCACGACACGTACAAGTCTATTAATCTGGTAATCTACTCACTCACACAATGTTAAGAATCCAAAAATGAGTGTTAAGTAATAAGCAAATAAGTCATTTCAACCTTGTCACCAAATTTGCATGATGCTGAAAAAGATTTGTCATCGACAGTGAAACTCAATTTCAACAAAAAACTGATTAAGTGAAGCCAAGAACCATTTTCAGCCTGAATTTTAAATCAACATATTAACATAGATTCAAAAGGTAAAATAAGCGGCTGAAAAAAATGTGCTGTCATTAAATAATCGTCTGGATGAAATTGACAGGCCCGTCATCAGGTTTGCTGTGTGACAGTTTTGACAGCTTGAAAACTATGAGTTTGATCCACATCGGGTCCCCGACACACGACACACCACCTTTACAGTAATCCCCAGAAGGATGGCTGGTGTTGTGTTCCAAGAAACGAGGCAATGTGCCAATAAAAGCAAGGAAGATTGATTTCGTTACTTTAAAACAATGTCTTTGCAAGGAAATGTATTCAACATGTTTGGCCTCAGGGAAACACAAAATGCATATTTCTGAGAAACACTGAA